AGGATTGTTATACACTTATGACAATTTATTTTTACTAATAGCACTATGGATGAAAAAGTATATTTATATTAAAACTATTGAAAATATTTGATTTTCTTTATTTTTTTTTGTAAAGAACAGATTATTTGCTTGTGTATCCAAATTTTACTTAACATGTAAATGAAAATTCGAGTTTGAACTGTACTTCTAATTAATCATTAATATTTTGGTAAAAAGTTTAACTAAAAATAATTGGAGATGAAAAATCCGAAGTTAATCTCAGTTTTGATGAATTAGAGTTGTACCTTTCGAAATTTTTACAGTGAACTAAATACAAAAATATAGGGAAAATGTGCTCATTTCACTTGTTGAAATATTGAAAACTGAGAGTTAAGAAAGATCTCACCGCTACTTGTTTAAATAAAAAGATTTTTACTTTGCCAATCTTTATATCTCAACAATCACAAATATTTGATTGTTAATGTTGCTTCGTCTTCAGCAAATTAAAAAAGCAAAGATTCTAACTTCAAATGATTGTAAAGATTCTTGAATAAGTCAATAATACTATGATGATACTAGAGTATTTTGTTATTTTAATTCTGCATCTATTTGATGATCTATACAAGTTAAATCTCGATGAATTAATTCTTTAGTTCATTTATGTAATTGATCAAAATGATCAGATATATCTGTTACGTTATATAATTTACAATCTAAATTTTTTAATTAATTAAGATATCTATGTTTCTATCTATGAAAATCTTATCAAGAATACTAGGATTTGTATCATCATGACGTAAACAAAAACAGATGAAAAAGATGTTAGAACTTTCATTATAACAAAAACAAAGATAAAATAAATTAATTATTAATTTATTTGAATTTGTTTTTCCATGAGTTTATTTTAAATATTCTCGTATAAGATCAAGTATTTTTGGTATCATAAAATACCTTTTCGTTTTATAAATTTCACCATGAGTAATCATTAAAACCAGTTTAATTCAAATAATTATAAAATAAAAAATATTTACTTGATTATCAATTTCCTCTTTCAATAATCTTCCAATTGCCCATTTTAAACGATATCGAACTTCATTTCAACATTTGTCAATTTGAAAATTATATTATTGTTCAATTAAATTTGTCTTATTATTTTTTTTTGATTATTTCTTTCACCTAAATTGATCATCGCAACGTAACTGTTTAAATAATAAATATAAAAGAAAGAACTAGTCACACGTTGAATATCATCTAATATAATAACAATTTCAATATTTGCACTTTCATTTCGTGGCTCAGTTGAATTTATTAGAAGATAATCAATGGTAATTAGGAAAAAAATTATTTATTATTGATGAAAATAATAATTTTGTTTGTTTTTAATAACTTTTATTTATTGTTTACTCTTTTTTTAATAAAGAATATAAAAGTTTTCTAATTCATTTTCATTTCCTAAAATTATTTTATTCTAAATTAAAATTTAGATTTTAAAATTCAAAAGATAATAAAAATTAATTTTAAGTAAATATGACTTTTTTTAATGTTACCTAAGATGATTACATAGAACAACACGCTTTTCATTGTCCATTGAGAGTGATTTGCTCATTTTTTCTTAAAAAAATTTATAGAAATATAAAATTTACTTTTAATTATTCAATAAATCGATAGAATAGTATTTATGTCTAATGTTCATTCTATGAATAATATTGAAAAATGGAAAAATAGAACAAAAATCGGCATCGACTATGGAAACAAAAAACTTTCTTTTTTTATTTCTTAAAAAATTGTACAAACTTGTTTTAATTGCATTTTGATGTCGAAAACAGAATTTCATGAGATGCGAAATATTCTACATTCTATTTTGCTTAGTTTGTACAATACAGAATTGTCATACATTGTTTTCCAGATATTGCATTGACTGATATCAATCAATTAAAACTTGAGGGTGCGTATGGGAGACTCAGAGAACAATTCATTGACACTCTTCATACCCATTCACTATTAGTCAATTGATTGTAACTAAAATATAGAATAAAAGAGAGACTGATACTGAATCTATTTTAATAATAAAAGTTTTAATATAAAGAATAATTGAAAAGAATATTAGTAATACTAGAGAACAGAAACAAATTTATATTAATGATACAATTAATTAAATAAAGGTTCATTGATTTTCATATGGTTTATTAAAACTTCGTCGATAATCTTATAAATATAAATTAATACAATGAAATGTAATTTGTTCATTATTAATTAAACGAATTTATTTCACGTTCAATATATTCATCTTTTATTTTGTTATTCTTCAATAAACTTTGTATTTATGTCAATTGTATCTGATTGTTTTACTGAATCTAAATAATTATTCTTTATTGGAATAATCGTTGATTTCAATGGTAAATATTCAATTTTTTGATTAATTGGAGGATAATGATTAATTACAGTTTGAAGTAGTGATATCCGATCAAATTCACTAATACTATTTTAATTATATTAAAAAAAAGATTATAGATAGGAACCTTCGATTTTCAGAGAGAAACTAGGAAAATCTTAGAATTATTCAAAGTTCTAGACATTTTAATTTTTGACTTATACTATAATATTAAAAATAAAAATCAAATGACTGTATTTCAGTCTGATATTCTGTCTACAAACAGTTATAATCATTCGTAATATTTTTTTTCATTAAAAATTTTTGTATATGTTAGGAATTATTTGACTTTTCAATGTTTACATTAAAGTACACACAAATATGCGTGATTTCCAACAATTATTAAATATAATTATAAGTGATATTTACATTCGTCATAAATTTCTTATACTGTACACTACAAATATAAAATGATTAATTTTATAGATTTTCTCAACATTTGAAATAATCATAGAAGGACAAATTTTTCTATTCTTATAATCAAGTTCAATAGAATTTTACATTTTTGCTCTTAACATACTGTAAAAAATATAATGATTAGATTAGATATAGTCAGAACAGTCTGTGGATGTTAAAATTAGAATTAAATTCACACACATTGTTTTCAAAACAACTGATATATATAAATCATCTTGTAGATTCTGATGAACGATGAGTGTGATAAAAATATTACTGATTTCCACGCTTTTTTTGAACCCAAAAGCTTCGCTTCACAACCTTCTAGATAAAAGCGCTGCAATAAGATTTTTGAATGAATTTTCGATAGAAAAGAAAGCATGGGAATCGATGGGATTTTTCCAGTATTCATAGTTCATTATAATCTACATGATGTGATATGTTTCAGCTGATTTCAAGATCTCAACTATATTAGTGCCTGTAGTCCTCCACGATATTTTATTGAACTTTTTAGTATTATAAATTTTTGACACTGTTGTACAACCTTTTTCTTAGTTTTGAGATTGTCAATCGATAGAGCTTGCAAAGTTACCCCGAATCAAAAATTTGAGGTTGCGCCAAGGTTCGTTAGATGAGAAACTATGAGAATAAAAATCGGTATATAGATAAAAAGGCCGAATTTGACCTCAGAATGCTCATCTATTTTTCGAAGGTTATGTTTTTGCGTCCTAAAGAGTTCAGATTTGTGAAGGGCTCAAACTTTTAAGTATGAAAAATTATGTTTTGAGAAGTTTGAAAAAATGATTTGTTCATAGACTTCAAATAGTCAAAAATAGAATATCTCGAATGGTCAAGATCAATTCAGGAAGAAAATATTTTCTAGTCGTTTTATTTTGATTTTCGTAATCAGCACCCTTGAATCTATACTTCCATTTAGTTTTGACTCGAGAGAAGCGAGATATTTTTTTCATGATACCTGAGTGAGAACCCAGGAGGCAAAATTATGAATATTATTTTTTAGTAAATAACGCTGAAAAATATGATCAGGATCAAATGTTTATTGAAGCCTGATAAATATAACTGAATTCTGAAGGGAGCCGAAAAAATACCTTACTCACTCTCCTTCTTTTAAGATTAAAGCGTTATTATGAAAAATGAAGCTGAATAGTGCAATAGTAATAATTATCAATGAGATCACTCATTTGACATGAATCAACAAAATACTAAATATTTATTTGTAGTTCAATGTTCTAGTCTTCACAACAATAAATGTGATCAACAGTAACTTAATAAATAGAAAAGCACAATTCGTGATGAACATTCATTATTTTAGTTGTAATCTAGATTAGACACTTTTATTTAGAATTAGAGCGGTCACGAAAGAAAAATATTTCTTTGCATGCTACTTTTTAAAAGACTGCAAAAAGGAGAATATAAATTTCTTTTTTGTTTGAATATCAGAAGTTTTAATAGTTACTGAACGTTTGGAAATTGTAGTTCGACTTGATGAAATTATTGTTTGAGATGTTAGTGTCATAAATATTTGCCAATATAGATCTTGAAACGCAGCTTGATCGACTGAAACTGTTATTGTATTATGTGTAATTTGGAATAAAACTTTAGTTTTATGTCGTAAATCATATTCCAATTTTTTTCTCTCAAAATAAAAAAATTTAGTAGGATAATTGTTTCTATTGAGAAAAGTAAGACTACGAAGATGTACGAAATATTTGGGTGTGGGTGTGAGTGTGGGCGTAATTACGGATGGGTATGGGTGTGGGTGTTCGTCTGAGTAAGGTTTTAGAGAAGATGAACAACGACAGCGTCACCGAGATTCACACTCCACAACCACCCACCCCTATCCCCACCTCCTCACCCCACACCCGCACCCACACACCCCCACCCACACGCCCACACCCACACCCACATCCACACACCCACACCCCACATCCACACGCCCTCAAGCATTCTATGTTAGTTTTAGATCTCTATCTGCAGACGTAATCACAAGTGTGAGTGTTAGTGTGGGATGTGGGGTGTGGGGTGTGAGTGTGAGTTTCATTTCTCTTCTACCACACCCACCTACACCCACACCCACCCTCACTCACACTCACACCCCACACCCACATCCACACCCATTTATTCAATTAAAAATAAAATTATTATTATTTTCATTGTTCTGCTTTGTATAGATTTAATTATTGAAGAGAATAGATAATTTATTTGTTTGATACATATCTAAATAGCGGCATTTTGTCATGTTATATTTTTCAATATCATTAAGAGGTATCAAATTTTCTTGTGGTTTTGTTGTCTTTTGAATTTCTCGTGCTATCTAAAATGTTAATAAATAACATATGAATCTAATCAAATCATTAATTTTTACCTGTTCATTTTTTTCTAAAACTCGTAAAATATTTCCACCAATAAGTTTAATAATATCATCAGATGTCCAATTGCCTTGTTCTAATAAATATTCGATTAAGTCTGGATATTTTGATACGTCTTCAAGACCCACTGGTATCCTGAAATATAAATAAGTATGACACTAACTAATATTTTCTTAGGATGATTCTTTTCAAATATACGTTGGTTATGGTGTTATCTTTTGACAATTGACTTTTGTCATACATCTACTTGATATATATGCTATGCGCAGAAATTTCATTTCTTCCTATTATACGAATTTAAAGCTTTTTCGAACAAAAGATGCTTTGAACTATGATGTAAATTTAACTGTTATGTCCATAAACATTCAAAGAATTATTAAAATTATGTCGATGGAAAGAATGAGAAACTACGGAATCAGGGACGGCGCGAAGCGGTTGGAGCAGGGGGAGGTACCTTCGAAAACGAAGAAAGGGGAACAAATTTTTTCTTGACTCGATTTTGGAGAAGTTTTCCTCGAACACTACTCAAGTTTCACTAAAAAGCAAAACTAAAGAAGTTTTTCTTTTTTTGCCCTCACTTCACTTTTTCAGAAACCCGTATACTTGGTCTTCGCTTTTGAGTTTAAAGCTGTACCCACATACAGGAAAACACATTCTGGAATCAGAGAACGATAGCTCCAAAACCAGGACAAGAGATTTCAAAATCAGAGACTCATAAGTCCAAAAACAAAGACAAGTGAACCCAAAATCGGAGTATTTTAGTGATTTTTTTCCAAAATCTGGAAAAGGTGAACTCCCTATCTCCCGTTGGTCGCGCCATCTCTGAATAACAGATGCGTCTAGTTATAATACTCATTTCTTGCTTAAACACTAATTTATTAGATTACTAATTTAGTTCAAAAAATGTCAAGAATAGAGAAATATAGTAGAACAGTTGTTTCCATCTTAGATTTTAGCAGAATTTACGATAAATTCATTACTGTATTTCTCCGTAATCGGCGAAAATTGTGTACTGTATTTCTCCAAAATTGAAGAAAATCGCGCACTCCGTTTCTCCAAAATCAGAGAAAATTGTGTACTGTAGTTCTCCGAGATTGGAGAAAGCTCTGTACTGTAGCTCTCCGATATTGGAGGAAATTTTGTACTGTAGTTCTCAGAAATTAGAGAGAACTGTGTTCTGCAGTTTTCCAGAATCGGAGAAAGTTGTATATTGTATTCCTCCGAAACCAGAAGAAATTGTGTACTATAATTCTCCAACATCGACGAAAATTGTGTACTGTATTTCTCCAAAATCGGAGAAAGTCTTGTACTGTAGTTCTTCAAAATTGTAGAAAGCTGTTTTCTGTAGTTCTCCAAAGTCGGAGAAAATTCTTCACCGTAATTCTCTAAAATCGGAGAAAACTCCGTAATAATCCCTCAAATTCGGAGAAAACGCCAACCAAAATTTTCCGCAGCAGGAGGGGGATTACCCACTATCCGCCTCCCGCTCGCGCCGTCCCTGTACGTAATTTATTGTTTAGTACGTAAACATTTTTAAAACCAAGTTTTTCTTAAATCAAATATTGTGACAACATGGCGATATAGTTAGCATCAATTCTTCTGTATATGTCTAATATAGTTTACGTTTCAATTGAGTTATTGTGCTTGAACACGTATTGTGAAAATGGGAGTATCTGTAAGAAAAAAGCCCACTATCTAATCAAATTTTGTTAGTTAAAATTCAAATAAATCATCATCAGTGTAGAATATTGATGTCTGTTCGAGTAGCATACCATTAAAAGGGTTTTGTTTTATATCAAACACATATTGAGAAACTAATGTTGAATGTATGTCAATTTTGTCACACATAGAGTTAAATGAAATCTAATTGAAAAAGATCATTGTTGTCTATTCAATGATACTAGTTGGATCTATATTTCTGACTGGATCCTAAACTAGAGACAGCTCAACGATCCTTAGAAGAAAAATCCTAATTCGACTACTAGGTTAAATATTCTCGGCAATAGCTGCTCATTAAAACACAAAATCATGACGAACTTATACTAAAAAAACAAACATCCAACATCATATAGAGAAAAAATACGACGAAAACCAGTTATTACATACAAACTAGTACCATCATAATCAGCTCCAAGACCCACACAATCAATACCAGCAATATTTCTTACATGATTAATATGTCCTAAATTCATAACTTATAGATTGTAAAAACGAAGTAAAGAAACTTGTTTTACTAGCAACATCGGCCATCGTTGCACGCTCTGGAGCATCACATGACACAAAATAGGATGCAAATGTAATCATAACTATACCTTGATTGTTTTTCTGCAATGAAAATCTTAGAATATCTTTCTATGTTAAATTTCTATTATTGTTTACCACTAATTCAAGTATATCATCTTGAACATTTCTTGTATCATTGCACCATGAATAAGCTGATGAATGACTAAATATAATTGGTGATTGAGTTACATTAAGTACATCTATTATTGTTTGTTTTGAAACATGTGAAAGATCAACTATCATTCCAAGTCGATTCATTTCTTTTATAACAATTTTACCGAAATCTGTTAAGCCATTATTTTTGATCAATATTGAGTCTATTTGATCGACTTGATGTTGATCAGCCCTTCAATAGAATGATAAATCAAGTTAAAAATCATTTTATTAAATCAATGATTTGAACAATTATTTTGTATTCCTTACCATGGAATATTACAATTATGTGTGAGTGTCATATATCGTACACCCATTTTGATAGAAAAGTCTTAGAATAGATAATGAACTTTCAATTGCTTGTCCACCTTCAATACCGAATAGACTAGCAATACGTTTAGCATGAAATACTTGTCGAATTTCTTCAGCTGTTGTAACCAGTTGAAATACATCTGGATATTTATCTATGATTCTATTCATAAGATCAATTTGTTCCATAAAACTTAATGTTGCATCTTTTCCTTGATGTTGACAATTCGAATAAATTGACCAAAACTAAAATGAATTCTTAATATTATGATTAGTTTTATTTCTTAAGAGTTCAACATGCAAAAAAGAAGGATATATTAACCTGTGCTCCAACTTTTCCTTGTCGTAAACGTATTATATCTGTATGTGATGGTGTATAATCTAGAAGTTTGTACTGAGTCATATTGTATAGATCAAGATTATTAATTTTGTTTCCAAAGTTCATTCGAATAAGGATAGCTAAATCGTTGTGTCTAGAAAAATTAATAGAGAAATTTCTTACGATATATTTAAAAAAAATAAACGCGTTCAACAGATTTATGAAGATAATTGAAATCGACCGAATCCTGTAGAATTCTTTATGAAGCCGATAGAATTACAATGAAATCTAGGAAATCGAATAACTTTCGAATTCTTAGTGTTCGATGCTTTTCGATGCTACAATAGAATTTTGTTGAAATTTTAGCTGAGCATTAGACCGATCTCTAATTCTATTATCAGATACTCATCACTACTTAATTAAGAAAACAGTGTTCATCTGTCGGATACGTCTATTCTTCCATCTCCAAGAATGTGATCGAATCTGATATTGGATTCATTCATCTAACAATATTTTAAGAAGCAATCACTTCAGCTACAGTAGATTTAGCTATAATATTTGACCCAATTATCAACGATAAATTAACTGTGAACTACTATACTAAATTTGAAGTCTTTTCAATTTGTACTTTTATATTAAGCTAAATAAAATACATCATGACTGAATGTCAGACCTAATTGTGATCTTATCTTCCATCTATTTTTGTCGTTAAATTTCATTTCAATCAAAAAGCGTTTTCAGATTTGGATATGATCTAATATGACTCGAAAATTTCATTTCCAATACAAAAGAACCGATCTTGAACAATAAACCGAAATCGAAATCTCAAACTGAAATCTTGATCAAATCCAAGTGAATTTATTTCAATTTACACGATTTAAAAATTCTGTTTCTCTCCTTTGACTTTATTTTATAAATCTAAAGAATATTTTTAGTGACTCAACACTAAACACAAAGTCGAGTCGAAGACAGATCCAAATTATCTTGGATAAAACTCTAAGACTTTGGAATTGTTCCACCTCTATTTTTGGGTAACTTAATCAATCTAATTGGTATATTTTTCTTATTGAGTTTTGGTGATTGTTTCATATTTACCACAATAGCTGGCAGCCGTGAGACAGTAACG